CACCATGTGGTCACCTCCGGGGCAGGCGGGAATCGAACTCACGCAGAAGTGGTTTCAGCTTCTTAGTGCAGTGTTTTAACCTGCTGCGCCACCAGGGAGGGCCTTTTTTTTTTTTTTCTGAACATCAATTTTGTGCTAGATGGTAGAAGTTCTTCCTTACAAGGTTCATACAGTCTAATGGGGAGACTGACATGGATAATAATTTCAAGACATGCAAGAATTGGATAGGATTAGGAATACCAAGAAAAGTGCCGACATCTTCGGCTGGCAGTGTGAGCAGGTTTTGCAGGAGGTGATGCTCAGGTGGAAAATGGAGCCATGGAGAGAGCTCTTTGGTGTTCACGGTATGGGATGGAACTACCTCATGAATGGTCTTGTTTGTTGTGCTAAGCAGTTCAGACTTCATTAGCTTTCAAACTCTCTGGGTAATACCATTTTTTTTCCAGTAAAAATTATAAGAAAACTGACTGAAGAGGGTAGAGGGCCCAGAGTACACCCTGCAGAGCTTCCCTGATGTCCAGCACTTAAGTGGGGCATGAGGACTTTCACAAATCACAGAGGAAGAACCATGGCTGGGGGGTAGTGAGAACCACTGGACATTTTCAATATAATCAGATTTCCACATGAGAAAGACCAACCTGGTGACAGTTCACATAGAGTAAATTTGAGAGGAAAAAAAAAAAGTTAGGAGATGATTTGATGTCTTGATAAGAGTGTTTAAGGATTTGGAAAAGCAAAGGTGGTAAGAATATGAGTGCTGGGCCCTCCCTGGTGGCACAGTGGGTTAGGACGCAGCACTACAAGTAAGCCACAGTGTCCTCAGTGTAAGTTCAATCCCCGCCCTGGAGGTGGCCCACATGGCGCAGCAGACCTCTCCTGACCCGCCCGCTGCTCCCCTCAGCAGTGTACTTCATCAGTCGGCCTGTTCTGCTCCCCACTCTGTCTCTGGTGAATCCTCTCACCACCCCTGCATCTCTGGCTTGTACCCCAGTTCTGTATAAGTAAATAAATAAATCTAAAAAAAAAAAGAAGAAGAAGAAGAAGATGAGTGCTGCGGGCATTTTTAAATAAAACATTATTTCTATAATGATTCCCATTTTGAAAGCTCTATGATTTTATAAGGCTTTTTCTGCTAATACAGGGCTGTTTGGAACATTAGTCACTCACCTACCCGTCTCCTCATGAATTGTGGTACATGTAACTATCAGTCACTGGAATTAAAGTGTTGAGATGAAAACTGCCCATTTATCTTAATGTTTTCAAATGTATACATGTCTTTTGTTGTCATATTACAATACTGTTCACTTCTGTCTGTCCTACAGACCTGACTGGCCAACAGCAAAGCAACTCCTTGGAGATTCTAACTTTCTAAGAAGACTTTTAGAATATGATAAGGAAAACATAAAGCCTCAAATATTGGCAAAGCTTCAAAAATATATCAATAATCCTGATTTCGTCCCTGAAAAAGTAGAGAAAGTATCCAAAGCATGTAAATCCATGTGCATGTGGGTAAGGGCGATGGATCTGTACTCTCGAGTAGTCAAAGAAGTCGAACCAAAGAGACATAAGCTCCGCACCGCACAGGTACCTTATCTGTGTTGGAAAACAATTCTTGTGTATGTAGCACAAAAGGCCATGATCATTAATCATCAAGCTCCCTTTATGCTGGCACTGTGGTGCTGTATAATATCAATGGGAACAATGTTCTTGGGGAAAACTTTGTTTTTCAAAATACCTGGCAAAGTTTTTTCAGACATGAATTGTAAAATAAGGCTTCTTGTAGCATAAAAGGAAAAATATGAATCCTTAATATATTCATTTCATCAGCCCTATGATATTTTTAAAGTGACTTTTACCTCCAGCATCTGATGCCCTTTTTCCATTTGCTAAATATTGCCACACTTGATGATGTCACATAGGTTCTAAAAGTCATTTTAACCCACAATCAGATGTGAGGTCTCAAGCAGAGCAAAGAATGATCTTTTAGTGGAGCAACTTTCTGAAAGAACTGTGGCTGTAGTGCAGGGGTAAGCAAAACTTTTCTATAAAGATCCAAATGACAATTCTTTTAAGCTTTGCTGGTCCCACGGAATTGTTGCAATGACTCAACTCTTCCACGGTAGCACAATTACAGCTACTGACACTTCTGATAGGAAGAAGCATGCTGTGCTACAATATAACGTTAGTAATGGACACTGGATTCAAATTTTATACCATAATCACTGGCATGAGCTAGCATTATTTTTCTGATTTTTTCACCTACCATTTAAAAATGTAAAACCATTCTTAGCTTGCAAGCCATGCAAAACCAAGCAGCTGGCTGAATTTGACCTGCCGGCCAAAGTTTATAGATTCCCAACCTAGAGAACTAGCTAGGAAAGGTTAGCTTTCAATAAGGCATGAATATTTCATTTGTCTCATCATTTAAAGTTAATAACCTATCATAGTTAACTAATCATCCCAAATGCTTGTTATATCTGTCTCTTGTGCTTTGTTTCATTGGGCTTTAGATTTGTTTTGTTCTATTTGCTCCCTCTCTCACATTTTATTCTATTAAATTTGTTTTAATTTTGTATAGCATATCAAGATCTTTTACATGAACTTGAAAAAGGTGACATAAATCCTTCTTTTAAAGTCTATAATAAATAAACAAATGTGACCTTCTTTCTGGAGCCCATTCTTAAATATTTACTTGGTTTTGCTAGGCTGAACTTGATATTACTTTGACTACTCTAAAAGAAAAGCAAACATTATTAAGAAAAGTAGAAGCTCAAATACAGGCCTTACAAGATGAATATGACAAAAGTGTGAATGAGAAAGAAAGTCTGGGTAAGTTATGATATTTATGTTGGTCAAGAAAAACTTGATGTTCCAAGTAGGAAAATTTTAGATAGTGATCTCAGTTTTCACCCCACATGTAGAACATATTTCCACTAGACGAAACTTCTGGTATATATAGAGAAGAATTACATATATTGTCTGCTTTCAATTTCTATCTCTGAAAAAGCTTATTGGGGCATGTTCCATCATAACACAAAGTAACATATGACTTTGATCCAGAAAATAAAAACTAGAGGGGCACAAAGAGAGCACTATCTTCAACCAGAGAAATGGAGAACCAAAAAAGGAGCTTTTTGCATGGAAAACTTGGTTCTGCAGGTGGAAATAATATCGAATTGGTGTGAGACTTCATAGAATGTATGGACACCATAAGCTAAATAATGTGAATTCTGCCATAAATAGAAGCAGATGAATACCCTTTTTATATTTTTTAGGAAAATAATGAAAAACATAACCTGATTTTCTTAACATGTTCTAGCAAAGACGATGGCCCTGACTAAAGCACGTCTGGTTCGTGCTGCAAAGCTGACAGCTTCATTGGGAGATGAGCAAGTTCGCTGGGAAGAAAGCATTGAGAAGTCCCAGGAGGAGATATCGAATATCATCGGGAATGCGTTCATAGCAGCTGCTTGCGTGGCCTATTACGGGGCCTTCACAGCCCAGTACAGGCAGACAGTGAGTAAACCTGCTTCCCCAATAAAAGGGAAAGAAGCAGATGAAACTGGGGTGGCCACCTAGGGAAGATGATCCTCATTTTTCTGGGTTTAGATGGAGGCTCTCCATGGTAGAGGTTTTTCATAATGGAAATTTATTTATACATTCCACACCCTCCACCTCCCCATCAGTCAGGGGTGTTTCCTTAGCGCATTCCTCCCTTTCCTTCCCTGCCTGGATCATTATTCATCATTTACACATCACAAGAACTTGAGGAAGAAAAAGGGACAAAGAGTCCCCTACCCTTTTGATCAGAAGTGGCATCTAAAGTCAGCAGCATAAAAAGCCCTGAATTGGTGAAATTGCTAGTAAGGGCTAGGCAATTGGAAGGATCAGGAAATTAAATTAGTTGGACATATTTTTCAAGCCATTTTTATGAAATACCTTCCTTAAAAATGTGCCTTTGTCCTAGGATTATAAGACTTAGCTATAGACCTCAGGGATTACAGGAGCACAAAGGTCTTCCGGTCCCATGTGGACAATTAGTGCAAATGGTGCTTTGGGGAAACACACAGCTTTCTGTTGTATGTAACTGTTCCCCTCCCTGAACTAGTAACATGTGACATGCCTCACCTTCATCTACTGATCGCCAGTAGTACCCACAGTCACTGGAATAACCCCAATAACCCCAACTTCACATGCTTCTAGATCCCTCCAAAAGGGCCAATCCATCCCTAGTTGAAAACTACTAAACAACTTTTGGCATTTTTATATAAGAAGGGAGTGACAGTCCCAAAGCCACAGCTAGTCAATAGAATAGTTCTACCTCCCACATCGTCAGCACTTTTAATCCACTTCTGTGCACTACACTGATGGCAGCATGCCTGTGGAGACCAGTAGGATTTCCTCCACCATGGTATTTTGTATGTCCTTGTTTACCGAGTATTCCTGATGCCATTCAAGAAAACTTTCCTCCTCCTACAGCTTATACAGTGTTGGATCGAGAACTGTCAACATCTGGATATCCCAATCGATCCTTATTTCAGTCTCATTAACATTCTTGGTGATCCCTATGAAATACGACAATGGAACACTGATGGACTGCCTCGTGATGTAGTATCAACAGAAAATGGCATTTTGGTTACTCAAGGGAGACGGTGGCCTTTGATGATTGATCCCCAAGATCAGGTGTGTAACCGACACTTCAGAAAGAGTGCCCTCTATAAATCCTGTTCAATATTGTGTGGCCCCTCACAAATGCTGCATTTGAACTTTAACTTATGAGCTCTTAGCAGGGGGCTTATCCAAGTCTCTTATTCTGTGGATGTAGAAAGTGAATTGGGAAGAGTGCAAGATCTCTGTATACTTAATTTTGATTGTTTTTGTTCAAGGATATTGACCATTAGTTTGCTGTTTACTCTGAGAGCAGAAATTCATTCCTAGATAGTCCTTGTTCCTAAAAGGTCTGAGGAGTCAGAATAAAGTCAGGGTATGATGAATTTTAGAGCAAGCCTGCCAGAAATTTAGAGAATCCCATTATCTGCTTCCTAAATCCATGAATCAAATTTATTAATAGGGGCTTGAGGAAAGGGATGGGGTGAAAGAAAAGAGACAAAGTTGAATACTATAGTATGGGCTTTTTCCTAGATGGGTCTTTTCTTAATTGGATCCAAAATTAAATAAAAGAAAGAACCCAAATATTGGTTGTCTTTATTTGCAGGGAGAGGGGTACTATATCTTTTTTTTAATTTTCAAACTTGTTTCTAGATTGAACCAAGTTTCCTTTTAAATTTAGAATAAATTTTTTAAAAATCACTCTAAAAACTTTTACTTTCTAGCCATGTATAAAACTCTAAAACAAATGCCCTACACTGTTCTTTCTCTTACAGGCAAATCGTTGGATACGGAACAAGGAAAGCAAAAGTGGTTTAAAGATCATTAAACTTACAGATCATAATTTCTTACGCACACTTGAAAATTCTATCCGACTTGGTTTACCTGTCTTACTGGAAGAGGTTTGCTTTTCACTTCCTTTTCTCCTATTAGTTCCCAGCTTTTGTGACTTATCTGGAATCCTCCACAGGTCTAGAAAGTATACTTGCATCCTACTGAAGACATTAGTCAGCTTTGTTTTCAAATTGGTCAAGCCAATTGCTTTGTTCCCTAAACAATATGCTCTTGTAAGGACAGGAATCTGTTGATTAATGTATTTTCCTCTTTTCAGACTTTATCTCGGTGTTAAATGGGATAGGCTCTGCTTTCTTATACTACTGATTTGCAGTAAAGTTCTGTGATGGGCCTCAAGCCCTCTTTCAAACCTTGCCTTACAGGTGAGGTGAAGTCTCCCAAAATCTTTGGCATAATTATGTTAAACCAGCCTAGATTCTTTTTTTTATTTTTTTAAGATTCATTTATTTATGCATACAGAACTGAGGTACAGGCTAGAGGTGCAGGGGTGGTGAAAGGATTCACCAGAGACAGAGTGGGGAGCAGAACAGGCAGATCAACGAAGTAGCAGCAGGCAGGTCAGGAGAGATCTGCCGCACCATGTGGGTCACCTCCAGGGCGGGTGGAGATGGAACTCATGCTGAAGTGGCTTTAGCTTCTTAGTGCTGTGCTTTAACCTGCTGCACCACCAGGGAGGGCCCCAACCTAGATTTTTTTTTTTTTTAAATCAGCATTCTAACTTTTTTTTTTTAAAGATTTTTTTATTTACTCATACAGAACTGGGATACAGGCCAGAGATGCGGAGGGTGAGAGGATTCACTAGAGACAAAGCGGGGAGCAGATCAGGCAGGTCGACGAAGTACACTGCAGAGGGGAGCAGCGGGCGGGTCAGGAGAGGTCTGCTGCGCCATATGGATCTCCTCCAGGGCAGGCAGGGATCGAACTCATGCTGAAGTAGCTTCAGCTTTTCAGTGCTGTGCTTTAACCCGCTGCACCACCAGGGAGGGCCCCAACCTAGATTCTTTTTTTTTTTTTTATAAGATTTATTTATTTGTGCATACAGAACTGGGGTACAGGCCAGAGGCTCAGGGGCGGCGAGAGGCTTCACCAGAGACAGAGTGGGGAACACAACAGGCAGATCAACGAAGTACACTGCTGAAGGGAGCAGCGGGCGGGTCAGAAGAGGTCTGCCACGCCATGTGGTCACCTCTGGGGCAGGCAGGAATCAAACTCATGTGGAAGTGGCTTTAGCTTCTTAGTGCTTACATTAACTCGCTGTGCCACCAGGGAGGGCCCGCAACCTAGATTCTTAATCCCTGATTTATTTGATGACACAAGAGTCATGCTCAGAACAGTAGAGTCATTTTTCTTAATGTATATATATTTTACATCATTGTTCATTTTTTAACAATCCTTTCCTTTCCTTTCTCAGGTGTAGTCCCCATAGAACTTCCACCATCAGTTCGCCCCCCTGGAACCATCACCACAGTCCCTTCTGCTCTTCCCTCACACATTCTGATCCTTCATCTTTCCCTTCCCCTGCAGAATGTCTCTGGTTTATAGTTGTCTGTTTATTTTTGTTTTGTTGTGTGATGTTGTGTTTTTTATTGTTATTATTTTTCCCTGACACCATACATGGTTCCCCTATATTCCTCCTATATATGAAACCTTTCAATATTTTTCTTTTTTCTTTCTGCAAAGCCTTTTAACTACAGCAGAGTAGTATTGGGGATGACAGTGGAAGAGAACACTCTGACTGGCTTTTCCTCATTTCTGTGACTTAGAATTATTAGCATTTTACACCTGTTTCCTATATTTGTAGTGTTATTTTAAGATGGTGTCTCCTCCCATTGATGGGTTTCAAATCAAGTTAGTCTACCTCAATCAACATTTTTTTTAATGTCACAATACAATTTTTAAAACAAAATTGTATCCTGGGTGGTAAGGAAAATTTTATCTCATGAACCTTTGTCCTAAGAATTGGGTATCTTGCCATAGTGTGGAGTAGATTTGCTGATATGGATTACAGTCAAACTTGGAAAACTACAGGGCCCAACGGCCCCCAGTCACAGGGTCTGTTGTTATCATCAGATTGATATGGGGGTGTGGGGGGTGAGGGGAGGAATAGCTGCCATATAGAATAGAAGTCCACAAATTTTTCTGTAAAGAGCCAGAGAGTAGATATTTTAGTTTTGGCAGGTCCCATATAGGTCCTGTGTAAATCTTCTTTGAACAAATCTTTGTTTTGCTTTGTGGGTTTTCATTCCATAACCCTTTAACATGTAAAAACATTTTTAGCTGAAGATTCATTTTATTAAAAAAGGCTGTAGATGGCCAGATTGGGCCTACAGGCTGTAGGCTGCCAACTCCTAACTGAAAACAACCATGACAGTAAGAGACCTCTGTCTGGGCCTGTTGTGGAGCAACCCAGCACTGACTCCCCTGTCTTAGCTGCTTTCTTGAAGGGGTGAGGTGTGTAAGATTAGTCTGCATCGATGTATTGCCTTCACTCACTCTATTTCCTTAGAGTATTGATAAGATGGTCTTTGGGAAATGTACACTATACTCAAGTGGTAATGTGGAGACATTAATAAATATCTGTAACATTACTGAAAAAATTCCTTATTCAAAGAAAACTTTGAGGCATAAGGCATCAGAAGAAGTTGGTTCCATCCATTCTAATTGCTTGTTTTTGTATTGTTTTGCTTCTGTTTTTAAGCTTAAAGAAACCCTGGATCCAGTTCTAGAGCCCATTCTTTTAAAACAGATTTTCCTTAGTGGTGGACGGATGCTTATCCACCTTGGAGACTCAGACATTGATTATGATAAAAACTTCAGGTTCTACATGACAACCAAGCTGCCAAATCCCCACTACTTACCTGAGGTATGAACTGCTAGTCTGGAATTCTCTGTCTATGTAGATTATTACACTGTGGTGCACCCCTGAAGCTTGGTGGGTTTCCATCTGAAGGCGGTAACTCTCCATCCTCCTTCCCTCTCCGCAGCACTTCTTTTCACCATCCTCCACTCTTGCTTCTCTTCTGTATCTTCTTTTTCACTCGACCTCTTGCTTGTCACCTAGGTGAGACTCCAATCCCTTCCCTGTCCCCCCAGAGCTGGCCTGTCTCACCCATGCACTTTGTCATTCTCACCGCGTCCCTGCTGGTCCACAGCCATTCCTCATAAAACCAGGCACTATTCCCTCCCCATCACTCTCCTTCAACACAAGACCATCCTTGTCTCTCTCACCATGCCTGAGAAGTGACTGAGATCTTCAGCGTCCATGAGGTAAGGAGCCTGATGTTTAAGAGAGCAAGTGCTCACAGCATATGGCAAAGAGGTTGCCTGATTGAAATTTTGGCAACTAGCAACATTAGAGAACCATGAGTCAAATGTCCCAAGTCTGTACTTGGAGTTCTGGGAGATAGAACATTCTACTTTCTTCTTCCTTTTCTTAGATATTGGGAGGTGGTATGAACCCCACACATGCCCTTAAGTTACAGTAGGATCCAGAAGAACCCCTACTCTTCAGCAGCAGGACTCAAGGCTGTCCAACAGAAATGAGGACACCTAGGACTTCTTCCAACTGCACAGGGCTCGAGGGGCCCCTTCACCCCTGCACACCCTTGCAGCTGCCACCAGTCTTGGGCACAGCGCCTCTGCTGGATCTCCAGGCCTTGGTTTCATGTTATGAAATCCCTTGAGGTTGACAAAAAAAAAAAAAACTATGACCTAGGATTTTGATGGCAATCCCCTTATCTTATTCACAATTAGAGCTGAGATATATCCAGCTTGATGATAATGAGCACTACTCTAGTAAAGTAAGCACTTATACTTCTAAATTTAAGCTTTTTTATGTTCTCTCTGCTTCTCTTCTAGGTGTGCATTAAAGTTACCATAATCAATTTCACTGTAACTAAATCAGGTCTGGAGGATCAGTTATTAAGGTAAAAAAAAGGGGGGGGGGAAGAAGTTTCCTAATATTGTTTTAAGAAATTCTGATAAGAAATTTTAATGCATGAAAGCGCCACTCATGGACCCAGGACATTTAGTGTTAAATATACTATGTTATACACAGATGTCATTTTACAATAATGCACCAGGAAAATTTAAGTGTTATAATGCGATCTTAGTAAATGGGGAGAAAGACAGGAGTAAATGAAAGTTCTTTCATCACTTTAGCAGCTGCTGATCTTTCCACAGCCTTCTTCAGGGACTAGGCACGTAACTTTAATTCCTAATCATGATCTGGGTCAATCCCACCACCATTCTGGTCTTCCCATTCTCTGGAATTCCCAGATGGGGCAAGTGAGTGACGTTAGTTCTGTGTCTCCTAAAGCCTCTCTGCTCCATACCTGTGAAAAAGACTGCTACTCCCGAATAGATTTTTCCCTATTTCATTTGTCTCTACATGGTGTATTAGTCTACTTAATTTAATCTACATTTGTCCTCTTAACAAAAAACAATTAAATACTTTGCCCCATTGTACTCTAGATGTGATTTTCATAGTGATTCATAGTGGTCTTATGAATTGTTGGTATTATTGAAATTCCTCAAGCAACAATTTTTAAACATGTATTAAAGTATTTAACCATTGGTGTTGGTTAAAAATTAATTATATGTGTATACAGATGTGTGTATATATTCATTAATTAAAAGAAAATGTAATTTAGACCCATGTTCAAAATAAATCCAATCCCTTATGTTCAAGTCAGGATCACACTGACTTACAACTATTATCACAAGTAAGTTTGTCTCGTTTCCCTTGTTTAAGACACTGTTCTGCCAGCTGCTAATCTTCTTTCCAAGCAGAGGGTATTTCACCACATTTGTTGGATATGTTCTAAAGACATGAATGAACATTTTGCCTATCAGCTTACTCCCATGAAGAGTTGAGCTTAGCTGTACACTGAGCTGTTGGCACTTCAGGCTGCCTGGAACAGGAAGGAGAATCAGCCTGTAGAGAACAAGGGAAATGCTGAGCCTTGGTCATGGGTACTGATCTCCCCTTTCACATACTTCTCTCTTTTGAAAAACCACTTCAAAAAAATGAATTTAGGTGATTTCTTATAACCTTAGTGTTAACCATCTAGACTCACTGTGTATGTAATAAATGAACAATGGACTCTTACATGAGTTGCTTCATCACAGCATATAGCGCATGTGCAACCTCATGGAAACCCAGCTCTACCTCTCACAGCCATCTGATCTCAGCAAGTGATCCACTAGGTCTGTCTGTTCTTGTGTCCCAGTATCCACCTCACAGGAACAGTCCAAGGATTAAAAGAATGATTCCATACAAGATTCCTAGCAGACTCCCTAGCTCAGAGTGATGCTTAATAAAAGTTGGCTCCTGCAAACAGAGGATAGGTAGCAACTTATGCAATGACAGGTGATGGGAGGTGAGTTCACAAGTCTAGGTAGAGATAGAACTGGAGGGAATAACCCTCTTTTAGGTACAATCAAAAACTGTTTCATGGAAGTGATAGGATTTCAGAATCCCCCAAGTCATTATATAAAGAATGTTGCAAGCACCAGTTTCTCTTGGTCCAAGCAACCATAAAAGACAGAAATTGAATGCTAGAGATCAAGCTTGAGCAGGTTTCCCCAAGAGTAAATGAGCACAAGTTACAGGAACTGTGGAATAGATCTTTGAAATACAAGATAAAGAATCATAACTAATAAGTTCAGAGAATGGTGCCACTGTGTAAGCCAGCAAAGGAGGGATTTATGCATTAGCACTTGACTAGTAGCATCCGTGCCCAGACACGTAATATGCAGAATAAAAAGTAGAAATAAGAAAAGAAAAACTAAAAGCAATTTTAGGGTACTAAGAGACACTATTTTTTTATTTAAACTTTGGTTCCAGTGATGTGGTACGACTTGAAAAACCTGAGTTGGAAAACCAAAGAATCAAGCTTATTGTGAAAATCAATGCTGATAAAAACCAGCTGAAAGCTATTGAAGAGAAAATCCTGAAATTGCTCTTTACATCTGAAGGAAATATTCTGGACAATGAAGAGCTTATTGACACGCTGCAAGAGTCAAAGGCAAGTAAAACTATTTTTAGTATTTATAGAAAATATGTTGCATCTAAAGTTAAAGCTAGATTTTGAGAGTCCTGCAAAGTTTTTTAAAGCAAGAACTGTGGCTACACAAGAGCATGCTTGCTGGCAGAGCCCTCACCAGCCAATGGAAGAGTAAAAAAGCTGCAGATAACGGCTACTCTTGTCCGCATTTTTTAAATAAAGCATGCAAAGTAAAGATCTGACACAAATGTAAGTCGAAAGGAACAACACAATTCTATATTCATGTTAATGTCACTTCCTCCAAGAACCCTCCCTAGCATTCCCATCTGGAATGAATCTCTTCTACCCTGGAACACCTGTAGCACTTTCTTTCCACCTCTCTTACAACACCTGCCACCACTGCTGCTCTCCTAGTTACCCACGTGCACGATTAGCTTTTCTTTTAGGTTGTGATTTTCTGTGCAGCAGATATCTAAGAATAGATAGTCTCAAAATTCCTTCTCCAAAAACTAAGCATGTGCCTATCTATAAAGAGCGCACAATAAGAATTTGCAGTTACGGGCTCCCCGGGTGGCACAGGGGTTAATGTCTCAGCACTATCAAACTATCACCAGCCTTTGCAGCACGAGTTGGATCCCCGGCTAGGAAGTTGACCCACATGGCGCAGCAGACCTCTCCTGTCTCACCTGATGTTCCCCTCAATAGTGTGCTTCAGTAGATCCACCTGTTCTGCTCCCCACTCTGTCTCTGGTGAAGCCTCTGATGGTCCCCACCTCTGGCTATACCCTAACTCTTGTTTGCATAAATAAATAAAAATAAACCTTAAAGAAAAGAATGTGTTGTCAGTAAAAGGGGTTACTTATTAGTATACAGTGATAATTGTATAAATGTCCTGGGGGTTTCTTCCTCCACTAGCTCCACAGACAGCCTCCTCCACTTGTGTAGCGCCAGCCATGCCCCAGAGTCACCATGGTGAAGGTTAGGAGTGAAAAGATTAAGTCAGATTGTGTGGCTGTTCACCAGAGCTGCTTATGACTCTGAAAAAGAGGAGATTGTTACCAACCATGACCCCTTCATTGACCTCAACTACATGGTCTACATGTTCCAGTATAATTCCACCCAAGGCAAATTCAATGGCATAGTTAAGACTGAGAGCCGGAGCTTATTGTCGATGGAAAATTCATCTGCATCATCCAGGAGTGAGCTGTCTTGAGCATCAAAGGAGGTGATGCTGGTGCTGAATGTGTTGTGGGGTGTCTTCACTTACCCTGGAGAAGACTGGCGGCCACCTGAAGGGTGAGGCCAAAGGGTCATCATCTCTGCCCCTTCTGCTGGTGTTCCCATGTTTGTGACGGACATGAACCACAAGAAGTATGACAACTCCCTCAATATTGTCAGCAACACCTCCTGCACCACAAATTGCTTGATCCCCAACCCCCCCTCCCCCCAGCCAGGGTCATCCAGGACAACGTCAGCATTTTGGAGAGACTGATGCCCACAGTATGTGCTATCACTGCCACCCAGGAGACTGTGAATGGCCCCTCTGGAAAGCTGTAGCATGATGGCCAAAGGGCTGCTCCAATCACATCCCTGATTCTACTGGTACCACCAAGGCTGTGACCTAGGTTGTTCTGAGCTGAACAGGAAGCTCACTGGTGTGGCCTTCCAAGTCCCCGCCACCAATGTGTTGCCCATGTCACCTGGCACCTGGAGAAATCTGCCAAATGCAATGGCATCAAGAAGTTGGTGAAGCAGGTGTCCCAGGACCCCCTCAAGAGCAGCTTGGGCTATGCTGAGGAAGAGGCTATCTCCTGCAGCTTAAATGTGGCACCCTCTCCTGCACCATAGAGGCTGGGGCTGGTAGTGTTCTCAATAGTCAATATGACAAGCTCTTTTCCTGGTATGACAATAAATTTGGCCACAGCAACAGGGTGCTGATCTTGTGGTCCACATGGCTTCCACAGAGTAATAGCCCCCTTAACCTCTAGCACACAAGAGGAAGAAGGTGACCCTCAGCTGCTGGGGAGTCCTTCCCCCACTGTTTCAACACTCTCGGGATAGCCTGACCTCATCACAATTCTGCTCTGGGCCCCTTGGAGAAGGGGAGGGCTTGGGGAGCCCTACCTTGTCATATACCATCAGTAAAGTATACTGTGCCCAGAAAATTAATTAGTTAATTAAGTGAATGAATGAAAGTACTGCTCCAGGACTTCTCATGTTGCCAATTAACATGTTCCCATTACTAACTCTGGAAGGAGAGGAGGTTCAGTTCAATGAGAAGATCAGTAAGTCCTTCCTGAGGTTCAGCCATCCTAGTAAGTCCCTGTTTACGATCACTAATTCATCATATTCTTACTTCTTTCCTAGACCTAACTAGATATATTCCAAAACTCCAACCATTTTTTTGAAACACATCCCTAAGAACTTGTCCTCCTATGTTTATTCAGATCACTTCTGGTGCCATTAAAATCAGGCTGAAGGAGGCAGAGTCCACTGAAATGATGATCAACATTGCTCGGGAGAAATACCGCCCCATAGCCACTCAAGGCTCGGTTATGTACTTTGTCATTGCAAGCCTCTCGGAAATAGATCCTATGTATCAGTATTCATTGAAATATTTTAAGCAGGTAAGAGTGTTGTTGGTAGTAAAATTTCTCTTTCATCTTGCCTCAGGCAAGTTGTGAGTCTAGTTGTCAGGTAAACAGTCCAGGAGGTTGGGTTCACCTTGCACCTTTGCCCTTTATACTGCAGATCACCTGAGTCTGCAGTCACTGCACTTCTAATGCCTTCTAATCCCCTGGTCTCTGCTGTGAGATCTCCTTGGACCCCAAGACTTCTGTGCTTTGCTCAGCTTCCTCACATTTCACAGGGCCTTGGGAATTTTTGCATTTTCCTCCAATGCTACGTGAAAATTGCAGGGTATAGGGAGAGCTATTTCTAGCCCCTCACGCCAGGGCTACCTTTAAGCCCTTGGTGTCAACTCAGCTGCTTTTTCCCGGTGTCTTTGTGGGAGCAATTTGGGGCCAGAGCCCTCCCCTCAGCAGGAAGCAGAGCTCTTTAAATTGGTTCCTCTTAAATTTCAAAGATAGGCCCTGCCTGGTGGTGCAACGGGTTAAAACTCAGCATTGTGAAGCTATCCACAGCCACTGCAGCTCAAGTTTGATTCCCAGCCAGGGAAGGAGGTGGCCCACATGGTGTGGCAGACTTTTCCTACCTCACCCACTGCTCCCCTAAGCAGTGCACTTCTTCAATCTGCCTATTGTGCTCTCCACTCTGTCTCTGGTGACTCCTCTTAACCCCCTAACTCTGGCCTGTACCCCAGTTCTGTATGAATAAATAAATATTTTTTTTAATTTTTTTCAAAGATCATTCTAGCATATTCTTCCCATGCCCAAAGAATTAAACTAGGGGAAATGCCAAGAAGAGCCCAAAACCTTACCTTGCCCTTAGATCTCTCAACCCAAAGTGATCATCAAATCTGAGCTGAGCATATAAAAATCCATTTTGCAACGTTTTCTATCTCACATAATGATGATGATGATGACGCCTTTTTTTTTTTTTAATTTTAAACATCCTTGTTTATTTTTTCACAATATAGGATTTCTCTCCTCAGGGTGGTCACCACTATTCCCACCAACAAAGCACCCACAGTCCTCCACCATATTCCATGGTGTTCCCTCCCCACCATGTTTCCTACTCTCCCCCTCCCCCTCCTGAATGTCTCAGATCCATGGTCAGCTTTCAAGTCTTGATCTTACAGTCTGTCTTTGTGATGACACTTTTGCAATATTGTCAGGGTTGGCACCGGTCTGCTTCTGAGAAAATGAGGAGAGAAGGAAGTACAGAAAATAAATGCCACTTATCCAATTAGTATGAATTTTGCACATTTTCATGGTACATTTGTCACTCATTCTGCTATTTACTCACTGAATGTGGGGAGCAGGGAGAAGGACAGGGATGTGGAGTTATCCCCACAGAAACTGTGTTCAATCAGAAATACTGATCGCTCTTTCTTTCCCACAGTTGTTCAATACAACAATTGAAACTGCTGAAAAGGCAGAGAATCTGCAGGACCGCATGGTCATACTGCTGGAACAAACTCTCCTCACTGCTTATGTTAATGTTTCAAGAGGACTTTTTGAGCAACATAAGCTCATCTACAGCTTTATGCTGTGTGTGGAGATCATGCGTCAGCAAGGAAAACTAACAGAAGCAGAGTGGAATTTCTTTCTCCGTGGTTCAGCAGGATTAGAAAAGGTACTTGTTTCAAGTTTAGGTTATAAATGTTATTCTGCATGAAGCCCACAAGAACCTATCAAAGCTCCCCAGTGGCAGCAGTTTATACATTTGATTTGTGGGCTTGAGTGAGGGGGTAAGAAAGTCCAGATTATAGCCTAGGTCTGCCTCTGTAGCTGTGGATTGTCGGTAACATTGAACCCCTTTATGGAGTGGTGTCCGCATCTACACGGAAGAGATGTTGGGAGTAACCAATGGGCTAGTGGATGTGAATGTTTTGGACACATTGAAAAAGTTCACATCTCCCAAATATGAAGTGTTAAAGTCCCATTAAGTTATATTCTTGTAACTTGATAATATGCAATATAAATTATTATATCATTTATTATAATTTGACAATATAATCATATAATTTAAAAATATTGTTTGTGAAATCATGACCCTCTCTTGCCTGGATTTTGTAATTTCGTTCTTCATGTCCATCCTCCTATCTAACTTTGTACATTAAAGTGGCCTAACACCCCCATTCTACAAACCTAGTGGCTCACAAGAGTGAACCACAGTCCCTCCAATTCTTGCCTACAATTCCATCTCATCCCCACTCTAAATTCTCCTCTCCACCCTGTCAGTCTCAGACCACCCTTTGCCCCTGCAGACCCGACACCTGCACCTTTTGCCAATGGCCAGTACTTCAGGTTATCACTAGGAGGGTGGGCTGCACACTCTTTTTGATTCCCATGCCCTGTTCTCCCAGGACAGGTTCAGACAAGATCACCCATGTTTATTTTTTACATAAAATCATCAACAATAACTCTCCAGCCCTCTCTGACGCCCAGCCATCTGGCATGTGCATGAAGGCTATTAATTGTTGTTTAATGTTATCTTAACTTCATACTCACATTTACTACTTACAAAGGAGTGGCTATTTGTTTTATGTATCCCTTTATAATGGAACAGTATTCAATCATAAAGAGGAATGAACTATTGAGGAAAAAAACATGAATAAACTTTAATAATCGAAGTGGGACAAGTCAGCTACATATTATAAAATTTGACTTCTGTTAAGTGTTAAGAATAGGCAAATCTATAGAGACAGAACTTAGTTTTATGATTATTTAGGGCTGGGGGATATGGACAGATAGGAAGGTAGAATAAGAAAAATGGGCAGTTTTTAAGGTGATAAGATATTCTAAAATTGACTATGGGGATGGCTGCATATATTTTGGGATTCCTAAAAAGCTACAAAATTTAGATTTGTCTGTATACTTTAAGTGGGTATGGCAAGTAAATTATATCTCAATAAAGCTGTTTTAAAATGTAATAGAGAACATTAGGCAAATACTCATGAAATTTTCAAAGAACACGTTTCCATCTACAGTCACAGTTGTTTTCTGTCTCTTTTTAAACTGCTTGCCCACATTTAAATGCTTCATGGAATATTGCCAGATGGCACAACATTTTTTCCAGAAATTTCTAGGGATATATAATTAGACATACACTCAGCCTAGCTGGAAGGAGATTGCCACTTGCCATTCTACAGTATTGTTATTCTGTCCAGCTTTCCCCATTACCTAGACGTGAAAAGATCTGATAACCAGATACATTTTCTAGGGGAAGAAAATAGTCAACCATAAGAATATCAGGGAGCTAAAGTAGGCTGGAAGTATTTTTAACAGATTTAATTTTTGTCCTTCACTAGTCAAGTGCTTTTATGTAAATGCCAAACCTGAAGTGCTCCAGTCAGCTGCACTGCTGAGCAAAGGTTTATTGGTAGCATAGAAGCAGCGCCATTTCTTTTCACTATATCTTATTACTTGTCCTGGGTACATGGTGATATTCTCTTAGAGCTTGATCTTTCACTAGGGCAAAGGGAAAGTATATTTTGTGCTTGTTTTTGTGAATTATTTGTTTTCTTTCTATCTTCTGATAGGACCGCCCACCTAAGCCTGATGTCCCCTGGTTGCTTCCCGCCACATGGTTCACGTGCTGTGACTTAGAAGAATCATTTCCAGTTTTTGCAGGACTTACCCATTATATGCTGTTACATCCTATTTCCATACAACTAGGTAAAGTGGCAAAAGAATCTAGTATATGGGGTAGTATATAGTTATAGAGCCTAATTTTAATGTCACTTGAGCTTCTTTTGCAACAGCAGTATTTTCCATTTAGGAATTTCTTCACTGTTAAGAAATAATTACTTGTTTTCTCAATTCTTAAGTTGAATGTTTGGCCCATGAAGCATTTATTGAGAGATATCTGCTATTTGTTTTAGGGCTTATAGTCTCAAACCTATACAAATGTGAGTTTTCAAACAATACCCACCAAAAAAGCCCCAATAATACTCCATAATCGCCATTGGGCTCCCTCCCTCCCACACTTCCTGCCATCCTCCCCTGCTGCCTGTTTTGCAGTCAGATGTCAAGGCTTTGTTATTCATTGATTTTAGCTATTCCTTTGTTTTCCTATAGTCCAACTGCAAGTGAAACCATCCAGTATTTGGTTTTTTCTTTCTGTATTTTGTTTAGTTTTAGTCTCTCCACCCATGTTGTTACCAATGGCAAGAATTCATCTTTCTTATAGCCAAGTAGTATTGTATTATGCATATAGGCCATATTTTTCTGATCCATGCCTCTGTATTTGGACATATAATTTGTTTTCATAATTTGGCTGTAGTAAATAGGGCTACAATGAACATAGGAGTGCAGATAGCCCTTGAAGTTAGTGTTTTTGTATTCTTTGGGTAAATCATATTTGTGGAATTTCTAGTCATACAATAGCTCTAATTTTAACATTTGAGATACCTCTACATTATACTGTTTTCCATAGGAGTTAAACCAGCCTACATTCCCACCAATGGTATATAAGGGTTCATTGTACTCCATATTCTAATTAACACCAGTTATTTCTGGATTTTTGATTGGCCTATTCTCACAGGTATGAAATGCTATCCCACCGTAGCATTTTGATTGCACTTCTTTGATTATAAGTAATGGTGAGCATTTATTAATATGCCTATTTGCGATCTGTGAGTCTTCTTTGGAGAAGTCTGTTCACCTCTTCTGCCCATATTTTGATTGGGTTTATTGTTTTCTTTTTGTTGAGTTGCATGACTTCTTTATATATTTTAGATATCAACCCTTTGTCAGATATTTGCTGTACAAAGATTTTTTTTTAAAAGATTTATTTATTTGTGCGTACAGAACTGGGGTACAGGCCAGAGGCTCAGGGGCGACGAGAGGCTTCACCAGAGACAGAGTGAGGAGCAGAACAGGCAGATTGATGAAGTACACTGCTGAGGGGAGCAGCGGGCGGGTCAGGAGAGGTCTGCCACGCCATGAGGTCACCTCCGGGGCAGGCGGGAATCGAACTCATGTGGAAGCGGCTTTAGATTCTCAGTGCTGTGCTTTAACCCGCTGCGCCACCAGAGAGGGCCTGTACAAAGATTTTTCCCCATTTGGTAGGGTGTATTTTTGTTTTACTGATAGCTATTCCTGTGCAGGAGATTTTTGGTTTGATATAATTCTATTTATTCATATTTGATTTTGTTTTTCTTGCTATTGGGTATAAATCCCCCCAAAGACATCTCTGAAGTAAATGTCATGTAGTGTTTGGCCTAATTTTCTTCAATGCATTTTATAGCTTCAAGTATTATATCTTATATCCTTATTGAGTTAATTTTTTTTTTAAGATTTGTTTATTTATGCTTAGAGAACTGGAGTACAGGCCAGAGGTGTGGTAGGTGAGAGGATTCACCAGAGACAGTGGGAAGCAGAACAGGCAGATGTACTGAAATACACTGCTGAGGGGAGCAGCGGGTGGGTCAAGAGAAGTCTGCCATACCATGTGGGTCAGCTCCCTGGTGGGGGATCAAACTCATGCTGCAGTGGCTTCAGAGAGCTTCATAATATGGTACTTTAACCTGTTGCACCACCAGAGAGAGCCCCCATTATTAATTTTTATATAAAGTATGAGATGGTGATCTAGTTTCATTCTTTTGCATGTGGCAGTCAGTTCAGATTTCCTAGCACCATTTGTTGAAGAGACTTTCCTTTTTCCAGTGCATACTCTTTACTCCTTTGTCATATATTAGCTGCCTGAAGAGGAAAAAGTTTATTTCTGGAATCTTGATTCGATTCCATCATTCTGTGTGTCTGGGTCTTGTTCCAGTGTCATACTGTTTTGATTATTATAAATTTGTACTATGGTTTAAAGTCTAAGAGTGTTGAATGTTATATCATCACTCTTCCTCTTTTCTTGTCATGATTTTCTTGTTTTTGGGGGTTTTTTTGTGTTTCCATGGGTATTTCAGTATTGTTTGTTCTTGTTCTTTGAAGAATACCATTGGAATCTTGTACTAGGTAATATAGAAAATTTTAAATTATCAAATTTACTTATATAACTTCATAGTCAAAACAATTCTAATCAAAGCACCTTTTTAATTGTGTTTACAGGATCTTTTGAGACTTATATTAACCCATCTCAGTGGGAATACTATCCTAAAAAAGAGGAAGAAGAACACACAACACAGGAAAAGGAGATCACAAAGCATGATTTTTGGCAACCCGAATTAAGTTCTTTCCAAAAGCTAATCCTTATTAAATGCTGTAAAGAAGAAAAGGTAAGTTGTTCTTAAAGAACTATTATAATTATTTCTACTAAAACACATCAACCAGTAATGATTAATGAACTGATTTATTTAAAGAATAACAATGTCCAAGTTTGAGTGGTAGTTCTAAGAAATAAAGACCAGAGACTCTTTATTATATAAAATAATTAAATAAAGGGTTGAATCACCATCCAGGGACCTGGTTTTCTTCCCTAGTTAGGGAACTGTGCTCTTTACCAGAGAAAACAGTCTGCTAGAGGCCATTAGCAGGGAATTGATGGGCCCATCAGATCTTAGCAAGAATAGAAGAATTTAGGAGAACAAAATTATAGTAACCAACACCAGTTTAAAGACTATTGAAATAGCCCATATAATGCCAACCTGAATTAGGAGAAAGGTAGTAGATTGAGAGATGTGGGGTTGGGGGAGGAGATAAGGCAACAGGTTGGCTATCAGTTCCTGCTTGGGTGCCAGAGGGTAGAGTTATATCAACAACTAAACTAATGTGGAAGGAGAAAGATGTTACAGAGTCTGAAGTGCCTGCCAGCTATCAGAATGAATACCAGCTTGGATACCAATTAACATATGGGTACTACAAAACACTAGACAGAAATATGGATGAAAAACAAAGATTTGGGAATCATCTGTAGAGACTTGAAAAGTAAATCAATGGGATTTGTTGAAATCTTAGAGGAATAATCCATTGTAATATAAGAGGACCGGTGGGTAGACAGTGAAACCCTGAGAAGCACCAACTTTTAAAGGGCAGAGAGAAAGGTTGAGGAGTTCTTAAGAGGAATGGTCAGAATGGCAAGAACACCAGGAGAAAGAAGTGGCATGGTAACAAAGGAAGTATATACAGTGGTGATACAGAAAAAGTTATCAAAAGGATGAATGAAGCATTGCAGACAGTTCCAGGTTTATATGCACATATAATCCCCAATTCTGTTACTCATAAAGAATTAACATTACCTGCTGAAAATTCACGTGTTGAGTTTCAGAATGTATGAGAGAAAAATGGAGGCTGTTCCTGTGGGAAGTGAAAGAGAACCAACTGGAGAATGTCAGTGACAGAAAGTAGTGATGCTGAATGTAAGATTTTCTTTCATCCCTGTAAAAACACAGAAATTGGATGCAGAGGTTTACTAGCAATACAAATGATTGCAATAGAAAAATATGAGGCCATTAAGATAATTGGTAAAAGTATACTACTTTTAGGACTAGTACCTAGAATGGTGGGAAAGATTGTGATTAAAGTTAAGTAAAAATTCCAATGAGTAATTCCAAGCATTGACAATACCCTATGAGAAGTCATGGGTGTGAGTGACTAATAGATGAGATGATGTGTCTGTAGCTAGAGGTCAAAGAACTATAAGGAATGTTGAGTGGCCACACAGACTCTGAAACTGAGTGTGTCACCTCAAATAGTGATAGAACAACTGATAAAGCCTTGGAACAGACATTAAATCAAAAGGAAGACTATGTCAGATAATTTGTAGACCATGACAAATTTTGCAAGGTGTATATTGTGTTTTCTTCACCAACAAATTTTTGTTTGCTTGTTTTGCAAAGGAAAGAGGAGATGAAGCACTAAACCTATAGATTAGAAGAGACTTAGGCAAACCAATCTATCTCTGTGTAAGCTTTATAATCAGATCCTGATTTAAACACAAACACACACACACAGAGAAGCATTTATAATTTAACTAGGGAATAGTGAACATTGATTAGACTTTTCAAAAAATTAAGCAATTATTGGTTTTTTATTATGATTATGGTACTATAGTTATATGCATTTGAAAGAGTTATTATTTGAGAATGAGATAATGTAGCACATGAAGATATACTTCAAGGGCCCTCCCTAGTGGTACAAGGGATTAAAGCACAGCACTGTGAAACTATCTGCAGCCACTATAGCATGAGTTCAGTCCATGGCCAAACCTTGTTTGTAAATCAACACAGAGGAGTCTAGAATCTAGACTTTCTTGGTGTGTTGCTGATTATAAACTTTGTGAATACTTGTTATCAAATCAAGAGCAAAAGATAATATCATTAAAAATTATTTTTAAAATCATGATGATGATGATGATGCAGTTATGCTTAATCACATTGATGACACAACCAGAACCAAACTCCAGATGCCCTTGGCCCTATTGTGGGGCCATCCTTTCTGGACCATACCACATGTGTAATTAGAACCACAATACATCTTCACTTCAGTGGGCAAGTATATGAGCATCTTTTCCCAGGGGCAAGTAGTTAAAACACTTTGGCTCTCAGTAGTTTCCAGTCTACAAATCCATGAAATTGTGTCTATAGGAAGAAATATATTCAATAAAGAAAGAATGCATGCAAGACAGGGCACCAACCTTTGAGCAGCTGAAAGAGAGAAATAAAACTACCTAATCCAACAAAAACTTTTTTTAATGTTTTTCTTTTCAACTTTCAGGTGGTTTTTGTTCTTACCGACTTTGTCATTGAAAACCTTGGGAAAAGCTTTGTAGAGACACCACCTGTGGACCTGGCCACTCTGTATCAAGACATGTCATACGCCACTCCCCTGGTATTCATCCTAAGCACAGGCTCGGATCCCATGGGTGCCTTTCAGAGGTTTGCCCGGGAGAGTGGGTATTCAGAACGGTAAGCCGCAGAGCTTCACTTCACTTTCACTTACCCTAACTCCCAGGTCCCAGTTTGGCAATTGCCTTAATTATTAAGTTAAGCAGACTGCATTCCTCTTGTGGGTTCTGATACCAGAGGGAGAACAGTCCTTGCTTTGAGGGAGTTGAGTGTTTGTTTTTGTCCTGTCTCTTGGCTCACTGAAGGATGACTCAGAGGATTTGCTTTTATTTGCACTCACTAGAAACTCTCCCAAGTTAGAAAGGTGCTTCCCTGGGGGGTGGAGGAACAAATTTGTCAAAAGATTTAAAAGTAAATGTGTTAGCCACTGCCACCTTGGCCAATAGATAATCCTTGGAGCAAATAATAAGCAAAACAGAAAGCCTGGGAGAAAAGGTAGGAATAAGAAATTTGTGGCAATACAGACTGAAAATCTCCATGTGTTCTTAGAAATCTAAAACACTGTTCATGACCAAGGCTGAGAACATACTCAGAAAGACCAGAAAAGCCCTAAGATCTAATTTCTAGCTGTAGCCTTCCTAGTAAGGTATAGAAGGCATGCCCCAACACGTACACAGAGCCCATTTGCAAAAGTTGGTAGATTTTGATGTTTCTGTTCCAGGCTTTTTTTTTTTTTTTAAAGATTTTATTTATTTATTCATATAGAACTGGGGTACAGGCCAAAGATGCGGAGGGTGAGAGGATCCACCAGAGACAGAGTCAGGAGCAGAACAGGCAGATAAATGAAGTACACTGCTGAGGGGAGCAGCGGGCGGGTCAGGAGAGGTCTGCCCCGCCATGTGGACTCCTCCGGGGCAGGCGGGAATTGAACTCATGCGGAAGTGGCTTAAACTTTGTAGTGCAGTGCTTTAACCCGCTGCACCACCAGGGAGGGCCTGTTTCAGGCTTTTAATGAAATCTCTGTCACATTACCAATTCCCCTACTACACTAACAAGATAGACCTCAATAATTGTATCCTTACAAAATCAGTTCAGAAAAATCACTAAACAAAACAAAATTATTATAAACCACAACATTTCACAACATCAAATACTGGGAAGAGGGGTGAATCTGATTTATCACATTATAGCATTCAAAATGGTTGGTTTGCAGCAACAACAACAACAAACAACTACAAGTAATCCAAAGAAGCAAAGCATGGCATATTCGTAAATTAAGTAATAGGAACTTAATCCTGATGGAGAGAAGATATTGGACTTACTAGATAAACTGTTTCAAATATGCACAAAAAGCAAAAGGAAAACCTGAGAATGATGTCTCAACAAATAGAGAATATCAGTAGATAAAGGATTTAGAAAAAGGATAAAGTAAAAAGCAAACTTAGAATAACTGAATAAGAAAATCATTTCAGTAATACAACAGATTAGAAGAAAGACAAGAAAAAGTGAACTTGGCGAAGCATGGTCCATCCAGACAATGGAATATTATTTAGTGCTAAAAAGACATGTACTATCAAGTCATGAAAAAGTATAGAAGAACTCTTACATGCTTATTTCTAAGTGAGAAAAGTCAGTCTGAAAGATTATTACTCCTGTGTGACTCCAGCTACATGATATTTTGGAGAAGACAAATCTGTAGAGACAGTAACAAGATTGCAAAGGGTTTCTATCCAGTTGTAAGGAACATTTGGATATCAAATTTTAAAAAAAAGTAACCCAACCAAAAAAAAAAAAAAGGTGGGGGGGAAGGAGGCAAAGAGAAAGTGGAAGTTACAAAAGGTGGCAGCAAAATGGTCAATAAATAAATCTACAAAAAGGGCAACTATTTAAATCTCAATGAGATGCCACTATATGGCCACCAGGTGTTAGCAAGGATGTGGGGAAACAAGAACCCTCAGGCACTGCTGTGGAAGTATTAACTGGTAGTGTCACTTTGAGAAAGAGTTTCTACCAGACAGCAGTTCCACTCCAAGGAATATGCACAATAAAGTGGAATGCACGTAAATGCTAATAGACATTTGCAAGAATGTTTATTGCAGTATTGTATGTATGCGCCAAGAACCAGAAATAACTCAAATGTCCACAAAGGGCAGGAGGGATAAATAAATAGTGATAAAAAAAAAAAATCGCATAGTAAAACATTATACAGCAATGAAAAATGAATGAATTACAGGAACACCCAATAAAATAATGTCAATTAAAATAGATCAAGTATAAAATATATATACTGTGTGACCCCATAGATACATATTTCCAAAAAAAGGAAAATTAATCTATAGTATAGTAGAATTCAAAATAGTTGCTTTTAAGAATGAGTAAGAATATTGATTGAGAGAGTGCTAGCTATGTTCTTTTTATTTATTTTAATTTTTACCTAGGTGGTTGTACTTGTGTATATTCCTTTTGGGAGAACTCACTAAGCCATACACTAATGATTTGTACACTTTTTCTGTATATATGTTAAACTTCAATTTTTTTAAGTTTTTAAGAATTGATCTATAGTTTTAGAAGTCAGAATGAGTACTTATGGAGAGAAGGAATGAAAATAATTGAGGTAGAAAGGGATGTCTTTGGCTGTTGACAAAGATCTCAACTGCAGATGTTCATTTGTGAAAATCATAAAACCTGTGCATTTGTCTTTTGTACTTTTCTATAAATATGTTATAAGAAAATGCTTTTTAAAAGCCAGAAAGAAAACTGTATTAACATCAGACTAAAGCTTAGAAATATGTGCCTATGTTTATATTTATATTTTTTAATATTTGTATTGTTTTAAAAGGACATAAAGCAGTATTTCTTGTTTTTGCTCAATTCAGGGTACAGTCAATTTCACTGGGGCAAGGACAAGGGCCCATTGCTGAAAGAATGATCAAAGAGGCAATGAAATCAGGAAACTGGGTATTTTTGCAAAACTGCCATCTTGCTGTTTCTTGGATGTTAGCAATGGAGGAGCTCATTAAAACCTTCACTGATACAAGTACGTTGAAGTTATAGCATTTGCATATTGTCATATTTGTGTAACCTCTGTTGAATTCAGTCTTATAATAGTTCTTTATTGTAGGCACGGTGTTTCCTTACATTCAGGGGAAATTTGAGACCTAGGGAGGTTTAATTAAGTTATATGACCTAGCCTCAGAAAAGGTCTTCAAACTTGAAATTCACTAAATGATTTCTGCTTCCTATTGCCTTCTGTGAGAGGCCATTTGAATTCAATCTTTTTAAAAAGAAACAGAGGAATTAACTTAGGACAAAGAAAGATAGAATGATAGAAGCAAGGGGGAAAGAATTCAAATGACCACCAATCCCCTTAATACTTACCAATACCACTTAATACTCTGGAACCAGTATGACAACTATCCTTCACCTGTGCCTGGTGGCCCCGAGCTATAGCACTACCACAGTTATTAATATAACAGCACCTCTTTCTTTCCCACTGAAGAAAGTATAATGGGTCACAAAGGAGGAAGGGGAGTTCGAATCTATCCCTATTTAAATGTTAGTATACAGTAAAGTGATTGAAATGGTAGATTGTGTTATTGCTAATAAGCTGGGTAGGTCCCACTTCACCACTCTGCCTGGAGGCAGTGGGGGAAAGCCTTTATCCCTTGTGCCCTGGTCACAGAAGGTTTTATAGAAAAGTGAAAGCTAAGTATAACTGATGTGATCTTGCAAGTGCCTATACTTACTGCTGCCTTACTAAAGAGCTGCTCCTGTACCGAGTGGTCAGGAGAGTGGTCAGGAGAGTGGTCAGGAGAGTGGTCAGGAGAGTGGTCAGGAGAGTGGTTATTGAGCCCCAACCAGGTTGTAGCAAGCTTGCTCACTTCCTGGTTCCAGGAAGTGAACCCTTGCCTTCTGCAGACTGCTTCCAGCAAGGGTAAAGAGCCCTTCACATCTACTGTCCCGATCTCCACTCTTACTGTACAAATAAGAGATGGCCTGCCACTTTCTGCAGGATCTGTGACTTGTTCCCCCTCGAAGAAAAATGATAAGATCCTCACTACCATTGAAGAAGGAGTCCCTGGTGATTAGGATTACAACTTTTTTTTTTTTTTTGTGGTAAGGAAAGCATCTAAAAAGAAATTTACTGTAGTCATTCAGCATGAGCCCTCAAAATACGGAAATATCATTGAGCATTTGCCATTCTTCAGGGAATCTGGAAAGGCGATGGAAGTCAGTGGATTTCAGCTGCTAGTGGATTTCATAGGTTTGAGGCTCACTGAAGTTCAAGTTGGAAGAATTCCCTTCTGGTCCTTGTTACCATCATTTGTAACTGAACCATCTGTGTTCTGATATTTGAACTTAAAGTAAAATATATTCAGGTGATGAACTGAAAAGAAACAGTGAATAAAAGAGAATGGGGATGGGGACAGAAAAAATTCTGGACATGAAATTCTGAGTACTGAGTAGTTCTGCTCCTGCCACTTCCTGACTGCACACAACATCTCTCTGGGCCTCAGTTTCCCCAGCTATAAAGTGGCTGCATAGCATCATTACTAGAATCTCTTGGTAAAACGAGTTCTAAGATTCCATCCTAGCTCTAAAGTACTGTAACAGTGTGGTCCCCAGGAAAAAGGGGACGTTCCAGGTTCCCTTCCCCACCCAAAAGGAAGGGGGAACTGAGGAGAGGAGAATCTGGAGAGGAGGCCCTCCCTAGTGGTGCAGTGGGTTGAAGCACAGCACTAGGAAGCTGAAGCCACTTCCGCATGAGTTCCCTGGAGGTGACCACATGGTGAGACAGACCACTCCTCACTCACCCCGCTGCTCCCCCTCAGCAATGTCCTTGTCAGACGGCTTCCTACTCTGTCTCTGGTGAATCCTTTCACCACCCCTGCACCTCTGGCCTGTACCCCAGTTCTGTATGCATAAATAAATAAATCTTAAAAAAAAAAAAAAAAGGGCCCTCCCTGGTGGCGCAGCAGGTTAAATCACTGCACTATGAAACTTAAGCCACTTCCGCATGAGTTCGATCACCGACTGCCCGACTGCCCGGAGGAGATCCACATGGTGTGGCAGACCTTTCCTGACTCACCCGCTGCTCCCCTCAGCAGTGTACTTTGTAGATCTGTCTGTTCTGCTCCCCGCTATGTCCCTGGTAAATCCTCTCACTTTCCTCATCTCTGACCTGTACCCCAGTTCTGTATCAATCAATAAATAAATCTTTCAAAAAAAAAAAATAATCTGGAGAGAAGACTGAAGAGGAAGGAAGCAGGATGGAGAGCCACAAGGTGACCTGAGGCAGGCACATGGAGCAGAGAGACATGTGATGAAACTGCTTGCTGCTTCTTGGTCCTGCATCTTGACTTAATTGCTTGATGCTGTTAGTGTGATTTTCCATATCTCTGCTTTCTCTTTTCCTTTGCAACTTCTCTACCAAGGGGAAAAATCGCTTTCCTCTTCATAGGGCTTTTGACCATTTTCATGAAGTTTGAATGGTTAAAATTAAAAAAAAAAAAACATAAATACTCTGACAGTAACCCCCCGCCCTTTTTTTTAATTGAAAATTTTCCCTATTCCAGGAAGAAGGTCCTTAGCATCTCCATTAACCAGAGAAGAACATTCATATGTTCCTAATCTCTTTCCTCAAATGCCAGCATCAAGACTGCCAGACTCTCTTGTATAAAGTTTCTAGATAGACTTTCCCACGCCATTTATAGAAGCTAGTTTTTAAACATACAAGCTAGTCTTTAAACATAGCTTCATTATAGAAGCTAGTCTTTAAACATAGAAGCTAGTCTTTAAACATAGCTTCCAGCATTTTTTTCCTGCTCTCCTATAACAAGTATTTCTTATATAAAATTGTTACGAGAGTTAAGCATTTTTCTTTTTGTTGTTGTTTTGTCTTTGTTTTAAACAGATGTTGTTATCAAGGACACTTTTCGACTGTTTTTAAGTTCCATGCCTAGTGATACATTTCCTGTTACAGTTCTTCAAAATTCTGTCAAGGTAATGTGTGCTCACGATTGGACCCATGTGCAACAATTATCCTCATTGCACTTACCGAGTGGGTCCAGAACTCAGGCCCCATGTTCAGGCCCTTGCCAAATGCAAACAAGGTGGGGAAGTATAATAGAAGTCAGTTTTCCTTCACCTGATAGCAAGCAGAGAAACAGTTTCCCTAGTCATTGCCCATCCTTACATATCCTAATCCTGTTGACCACTCAATATTTCCCTTTTCTTACCCTGTAAAAGAAAATGTCACGTGTGCAGAGTGATGAGAATGCACCCCTTCTTGGGGTTAAAAGCGGTGTTTCAGCATCAGAGACAGAAAGTAGGGATGCTAGCTCTCAGTGCTGGAAGTTTCCAATAGATGGGAAGCCTCTGCATGTGAATGATCACCCAGAAATAGGAATGTCTTATCCTCCCATGTTATGAGACAAAGTATAGGGTGACATCTTTGGTGCATAATTAGAAAATCAGCTGAAGAGAGCATACTTTCTGACCCATGTTTTGAGAAATGGACCCCAAATGGATGGTCCTCAGATTCTTATGGTTCACTGAAGACTCCACAGGCCCTATTCTCCTGGGAGATTCAAACCAGCCAGAATGGTCTGTGGGCACAGTCATCTGCATGCTCTGAGTGACTTCAGCCTACCTGTGTAATTCAACATAAGGCGAATCCATAAAATCATCCACTTTCCATGTGCGTTCCTTCTATATCCAGGTAACCAACGAGCCTCCAAAAGGCTTACGTGCAAATATCAGACGAGCTTTTACTGAAATGACACCTTCATTTTTTGAAGAGAATATACTTGGAAAAAAGTGGAGACAAGTGATATTTGGCATTTGTTTCTTCCATGCAATTATTCAGGTATACACAATTCTGATTTTTAAAGAAATAAATGTGTTATATTTAAAATAAATAGTAAGGGCCCTCCCTGGTGGCGCAGCAGGTTAAAGCACAGCACTGAGAAACTAAAGCCACTTCCGCATGAGTTCAATTCCCGCCTGCCCTGGAGGTGACCACATGGCGTGGCAGACCTCTCCTGACCCGCCCACTGCTCCCCTCAGCAGTGTACTTCGTCGATCTGCCTGTTCTGCCCCCCACTCTGTCTCTGGTAAATCTTCACCCTCCGCATCTCTGGCCTGTACCCCAGTTCTGTATGAATAAATAAATAAATCTTTAAAAAAAATAAATAGTAAGAATGAAATGAGAGTTTACAGGTGGCATGGTGAATGCTGAGGTGTCCAAGTTGTACTTGAACCCAAATTGTTTTACCTCGATCACTGATCTCAGTGTCCTCACTCCATTTCTCGCCACTTTGCCTCCCATCTCTATTCTGTTCTGTCTGCAGAACACGATCATTTAGAGGAATGCAATGGATCAAATTAAAAAGCATAAAATTGATTTTCCAACCTGTGCCTCATTCACAAAATCTGCTTCCCTTCCAGATTCTACTTCTAAAATCAGTGGTCTCATTCTCCAATCAAAATCTCAGCCTTATTTTTATTGTTTCTTCTTTACACATACATATCATGTCAGTCATCAAATCCTCATTTTTCTTGCAGTAAATTCACTCTCATTTCTTTCTGTGTGAAAGGGCTTTACCACCCTAAACAGCTTCCTCCCAGTGACTGGATCCCTAAGTCCCCCTCAAAATGACCTTCAGTGAGGCACTACTTTCTTTTTTCTGTCCAAACCTCGCTGCTGTGGTCTGATGTCCATCCCGCAGCCTCCGCTTGCATCCTGACTCTTCAACTGTGCATTTCTAGATGGCATATTGATTGGGCTGGATGCCTTGTTTTCCAGGATGTGTGGTCTACAGAGAAAGAATCAGCAAAGGAGACGCACAGACTGTAACTATCAGATATGAAAATAACAAGAAAACCAGGTTCTAGAGGAGAACAGGGGGGCAGGGACTAGGGTCTCAGGATGTGACTACTTTTGTTCTACTAACAAAAGTTACTGAGGTTGATTGAGGAGGTGGTTTGAAATTTAGGGAAATTTTGAGGTCAAACATGGAACCAACCCTCTAATATAGTCAGCGCTTTAAGAAATTAAGATGGTCCAGAAAGATATCAAGGAGAGATATCTCTTGATATCACTGTGGAAAGTCATGAAACGAGGACTATGTTTCTGCATGCTGTTTGTTTTTTTTTTGTTTTGTTTTGTTTTAAGATATCAGTATAGGAAAGTCATTATGTAATCAGCCTAGTGTGGCATGAGCAAAAAGCCTGTTATGGTCAGGGTTTTGGGACAGAAGGGGGTGTCTCTCATGCTGGATGGATGACCAGTGTCAGTCCCGTTAGACCAAGAGACTATAGTTGGTATAGTTTCCTATTTGGTGGGGACATATTTTATCATGAAGAACGAATGTTCTTGGGACAAATCTATCATTTCCAGTCCTCTCCAATCTTTTGGAAATCGGGGAGAGGGCCAGTACTGGAGGAAAAGATACCTATCCTTGTTGGGTGAGAGCCAAAATAAAAATCTAGCTGAAGTTGAACTGCATGATTTTAACTGATTTTGCAGAATCCTAACCTCAGTAGAAATCCTTTTGTTTTCATTATTTACATTAGATTAATTTTATCCAATTTTACTTAAGACCATTGTCACTTTCTATTGTAGGAAAGGAAGAAGTTTGGTCCGCTTGGTTGGAATATCTGCTATGAATTCAATGACAGTGACAGGGAATGTGCTTTATTGAACCTCAACCTTTACTGCCAAGAAGGAAGAATTCCCTGGGATGCACTGGTTTACATTACTGGTCAGTACACCACATGGTCATGGCGTCCAGCTATGCCCACATGGCTGGTTTATACCCGCCAGGCCCATAACAACATGGTATCTTCCAGCTCTGTTTGATGATAGTGGTAAACACTTCCGATACTCTCTTTGTGTAGTTAAGGATATGACAGACGTACCGAATTAATATTAATACATAGAAAATGAGGCAGATATTTCCCCCAATAATAATAGCAAAAGCTTAGCTAGCTCTTCCTACATGCCATACACTGTTTTGAAGCACTTCTTATGAATTAGCAAATTTAATCCTCACAATCCTGTAAAGTAAGGACTGTAATGTCCCTGTTTTACTCATGAGGAAACTGAGCGGTAGAGCCTAGAATTAAATGGAGTCTGCTTAGCCCCCAAATCTGTGCTCTTACATTCAAAAGAATCCTAATATTGACTGATTAGTCACAGTGACATGTTGAGTCACGTGTACTTGTGAAAAAGAAATACTTCAGGGACTATCATTTCTAGCAACTGTTGTAGCCACATGGGATCTTACTGCCAAAAGTATATCTAATTTGGACCATACAGGTCCAAGTAATGAAGATATCTGGAGAGAGGAAAGATAAGTGTCCTAAGGAGGTACCAGAAAGGACATCGCACTTCTGGAAGAAATAAATTATTGAGATTCCAAAGATTGAAATAACGGTCTCTCAATCAACAGCCTTGGCTTTAATGAAAAAAAAAAATTTTTTGCTGACATAATAAAAGAGGTGGAGATGAAAAATGGATGAAAATTAGAGGATTCAGAAGTTGACTATGTCAGTTTCAAGGAGTATTCCAGAAACGCTACAGTAGTGAATTATATGTCATAGCACTGGATCTTGAATTTTTCTGGGGAACTGTATCAGCAAATGATATCATTCTAAAGGAGACTAGGTATCATTCCTACTTGTACTCTGATGTTGAGCATAGTGCATGCTGAAAGCAATTTCTGTCTACAGAGAGATGATATTAATATATTTTAATTCCAACATGTAATTTCTGTGAGGGAGTTGCCTCTCTCACCTTGGACCTATCTTTCCTCCCTTATTTAATAGAAATAATATATAAACTATGTAAAGAGCTTTATTGCAAACCTTTAGATTCTCTTTTACTCATTCGCGCCAAAAAGTACTAGTGTGTCAAGGAAAGGGTATATGTTATAGAATATTGTAGGCAATGATGAAATAAACCCCAAATCATTATTTTTTAAACCAAAAAAAGGAAAAGAAGGAATAGAGATGTAAATAAAATTCAGTGGCTTTAGTTTCTACTACTTGGAGAAAGCAAATAATTAGAGTAGATCTCTTCTTTCTTTTTTTTTAATTGACTTTCATTCTCTCTTTTGAAGGTGATAAAGGAAAATTCTGAGGAAGTAGTTCCATTTTCAGTACCAAATAAATGTGTATGTAAATAAACCTATTAGACTTGGATATGCTTATCAATTTAAAAAAAAAACAATGTTTTAATGGAAACTTCTTTTCAGGTGAAATTACATATGGTGGTAGAGTTACAGACACCTGGGATCAAAGATGCCTTCGTACTATCTTGAAAAGATTTTTTTCTCCTGCAACATTAGAAGACAATTATAAATATTCTGAATCAGGTGACTAACTTTTTAGTATTATGAATAAGACTGTTTCCAAGAAGTCACTGAAAGTTTATGTCAGTTTGCATCCAGGAGACTACCTAGTCTCCACACCCAACCCCTATGCCTACCCTGCATGCTTGACCACCTTGGAAACTGGTTTGGTAGTAAGAGCACAAAGAGCTATATTATTCAAAAACCACTTTGAATTATTTCTGTTCTAACATTGCTGATATTCTGTCTAAGTGTGTTTTCAAAGTTAGATAAATTTGGAACCCCTAACAAGGCACACTTTCAGCAGTACACCCCTGGATTTTTGAAATCTTGAACTGTTCTGCAGGAACCCTAAAAGGATAGACAGTGATCAGATGCTCAAGTCCTCAAGAAAAAGTAAAAAAAAAAAAATTAGAGCAATGAAAGCAAGAAGGCTTGGGAGAACCATCTTCTTTCTATGGGAGGCAGCAGTTATGGCTCCCATCTGAATCAAGTGGAGAAGTACTGAAGTTGAGTTGGGGATACAAAACTGGCCATTCTGAGACATATTTGCCTTCTGTGTTTTCAATAACAGGCATCTATTTTGCACCGTTGGCTGACAGCCTACAAGAGTTTAAGGACTACATTGAAAATCTGCCTTTGATAGATGACCCAGAAATATTTGGAATGCATGAAAATGCCAATCTAGTTTTCCAGGTATGTGACCCTTCAACATAAAATGCATACACTGTGTATGTAAATTTGAAATATTAATAATCACCTCACAAGCTCTGTGAATTATACATTCTTAAACAAACAAAGGTAAGTTTCTCTTCAGCTTCAGCATTTGGTTCCAATTTTGCCTGCTCCCTCTGGAGCCTTCACAGAATCCTGGGATCATCATGCTTTTTCCCTCTCACCATAACTTGGGGGTTTGAATGACAATCAAGACCGTCATCCTTTCTCTTTTCCCTTTTCCCGCCATACTGAGCATATTGGTATTATACTGCACCAAGGTCCATGAACCCATTGATGATTAGTTATCCAAGGCAGGTAAATAAAAATACTATTCTTTAAAAGCAGTTAACAAGGACACAGTACCAGAACACAGCAATCGGTCCAAAGAGTAAACAAGGTAATTTTACTTCCCTGAGAACTTCTGCTGCCACACCATTACCTACAGGGGGAGTCCACACTCCTCAGCACAGCCCTTGAAGCTCCCCCATGTCCTGTATACTACACCCCAATTTCACCCATCTGCCATGGTCAGAGACCTATGGCTGAACCAAAGTCATGAAATGAAGTATATTCCTGGGGATCCTGGAATACACTATAGGTCGGAGACTAGGTTTGGCTCACAAGACTGAAGGAAATCATCTTTCTTTTCAACTTAAATTTGTCCCTGTAAGTGCTAAAGAGTGAGGTCTGTGCCAAGAGTGGTTCCAGAACAAGTGCCAAGAGGTGGTCAGTGTTCTTGATATTGAATGTCATGTTCAGTGCTCTTGATACTTAATGTCATGTTCTCTGGCATTAAAATTGCCTTGCTATTCAGTGAGGAGTTATCAATCTTGCTTTTT